GTTCTGGAACTCAATAGAGCTCCCCATTCTCCACTTTCCTGATGACAGCAGAGGTCTGTAGCTCTCTCAGTAGATCAGTTCTATCGTATTCATTTCTGGAGACCTTCCAAGGAGCCTATTCGTGCTTTTTTCCTGTATTAAATATTTCTGCTTAGAATACCTAGAATGATTTCTATTTGTTCACTGAACCCTGGAAAATACACAAAATAAGGTCACCAGGCCAATGATAATCAAGACTGCATTTTTTTCTGACTAGGTCTTAAACGTAAATGAGCCAAATGGAAAAGTCCAACTTCTGACTCAGCTTTTGGGGAGATGGACCAGTGATTTTGCTGATGGAAGGGAACAGAAGAAATGCTTTAGAAGAGCTGTCAGAAGTTGACTATCCAGAGACATTACCAGAGCTGGCACCCTATCTCCATTTTTTTCAAATGACACCCGAGACCCAACTGTACTCCAGCCCCCGTGCTCCATCAGCAGAAATTTGGTGGAGACCTGTTCAGCCGAACCACAGTGCAGGAGGAACTGTTAATACCAGATACGTCATGAGCTACAGCAGTCTTAGGATGAGAAATGCCTCCACTGTGGAGGCATCCTATGCTGGGATCACGGGTGGAGCACAGGGTGGACAGGCTGCAGAGGCCGTGCACCATACCTAAGAAATAAGCCTCTTCCTTTAAAGAGCCTAGTGTCAAGCACTCAATTCTACTGGACCACATGGGTAGGTCTAAGAGGATTAAAAGATGCTACCTTAATGGCACAGGGTGGACAGGCTGCAGAGGCCATGCACCATACCTAAGAAATAAGCCTCTTCCTTTAAAGAGCCTAGTGTCGAGCACTCAATTCTACTGGACCACATGGGTAGGTCTAAGAGGATTAAAAGATGCTACCTTAATTCTCTTAACTAGCTCAGAAGTATCTGCAACACAAGATCCTCCTTAACATGGAAGAACTGTATATACTTTTCAGTGAGACAAAGCACATGATAAAACAGCATATAATTTAAGCCATTATATATACCACATTTTGGAATCTTAATATGCACTAAAGTGTTAAAACTGGTTTGGTTATCAGCACCAAAACTAACCAGCTGAGCTAACCAGCCAGCCCAAAATTGGTTTAATAGAATAACTTACAAAATTTTACCTAGATGTACTTTATGATTTTACTATAATATAGTATTTTTTTTAGCATTGTGGTAGCCATTATGGATTGCCCACCTGCCACTCCAGTGTCTTCTCTACTAACAAAACCCCATCTCACAGGCCACAACAATGTGCCTAATGCCAGGGGACATGTGGTCTACCAGTGCCTGGTGCAAGGGTGGGTATGCAGCCCAGTTCTATCAACAGAAACAGGGGCCAATCTGCTGGGGCTTATTCTGAATATTCTGAAGGATATTCCCCCTGATAGAGAATGAGGATCAAGCTACTTTACTGCTGTTCCCTTTGCTTCCTGCTTTGGCTTTAGACACCATCACATGAAGAAATGATGCTCAGAGCTGTAGCAGACATTCTACAACACTGAGAGTGGCAGAGCTGATGGATGGAAGAAAACCTTGATGACATTTTGGCTGCTGCCCAACTCTGGAGCCATCCATCTCCAGATCTCTTAGCTACATGAGCTAACCATCCTTATTGCTTAAGCCACCATCAGTCTAGTTTTCTGTATTTGTGCTGATCACATCCTGTTATAGGCACTTATCTGCCTGGCACCAAATAAGTGCATCATGTTCACTCTCATTTAAAAGCAACCCTATAAAAAAGCTACTGTTATCTCATCCTTATGGAAAACAAAATAAAGACTGAGCTTAGGGAGGATAAGAGACTCCCCCGTTACTGGTGGAGCTAGATTCAAAGCCAACCCTGATTCTAAAGCCCGTACTCTTGTCACTTCATCATGCAGCCAAAAAAATGGACAAGCCTATCATGCTCTACTTCTGTACCTAACAAAATGTATATATACAGATGCAGGTAGAAATATATTTGCATCCATTTGCACCCATGTATGAATTTGCCTTTGGGCTCTTCTCCCATTATTTGCACATATTTGTTGGTAGAAATGTGTGCTTCAGAGGCTTGGCTAAGAAAGCAGACTTGCCTCGTCTTTTTTTCCACACTTCAATTGATGACATCTAATTTAGGCATCAGGGATCTAGAGCCAGGCTGCGAAGACTTTGATATGGAGTCATAAGGTTCAGTCTCCAAAATATCTCAAATGGTGACATGAACGTGAGAGCAGTACAGGCTCTTCTTCAGGCCTTCTTGGGAGAGTCAAAGAACTAAAGACTGCAAAATACCAAGCACTTAACAACACAAGCCCATTGGGTCAGTCCAAAAAAGCAGAAGAGTGTTTCTGAACCAAAGAAATAGAACAGAAAAAGATTAAAACGGAAACCCACTGGCAGGGCACCAGCTATTTAGAAGAAGAAAGCGCTGGAGCCCAGAGCTAATCAAAGCTCAGTCTTAGACCAAACAGGACTTCCACGGCACGTGGTTCCAAGGAGCCTTTCTGCTCCAGTCCGCTATAATGAGGAGAGAATACTGACCAACAGAGCTAATGGGAGCTTTTAGCTCCAGAAGGGGCAATGTGATCACGAAATATTCAATCCCTCCTTTTAGCTGCTTGATGGGCCGCTTGAGGGACGCTGTAAGAAAAGCCCCAGTGAGCTAAATAAATACCAGACTCGAGAAACCTACAGAAGGAGAGTGAGACTAAAGACAGACATACCCAAAACCTCTGGGGCCACCAGAAGTTGGGATGAGGCAGTTCTTACTGAGCCTCTGTGGTTCATCCCTGTTCGAGGCAATAGGCTAAGGTGCCAGCCAAGGGTGGCTGCACCATCGGTGTCTTAACAACCACAGAACAGTGCTGCACGAGACTCTTCTAACCTGTAGATGCCTCCCCAGCTGCAAGGGGGACACACGCCAGCTCTGCTGACAAGGGAAGAGGAAGAGAAGCTGTTCCTCCAGGGTTCAGTGTCTTAACAACCACAGAACAGTGCTGCACGAGACTCTTCTAACCTGTAGATGCCTCCCCAGCTGAACCAAGGGGGACACACGCCAGCTCTGCTGACAAGGGAAGAGGAAGAGAAGCTGTTCCTCCAGGGACTATACAGAGTGCGCTGACCTGGCAAGGGAACAAGACCACAGACCCAGAAGCTCGATGGCGAGTGTGGCCAGCTGGGGCTGGGACCCACACTGAGCAGGTGGACCAGGGGATGCTAGGACAGAGATACAGATGGGCCTCTCACAGTCACAACTTTTCACGTGGGAGGCCATCTGTCAAGAGTCAAAGAGGCTGTTATTCAATAAACCTCTAACTTCTGTCTTACCAAGGGTTTGTTTCTTTTTAGCAATATTTGACTTATGTGGTGATAATTCTCTGCTAGTGGCCACAGGTTTCTTTTCAGAAATATTTAAATGGAAGCTAGAAGAGTACTGGCTACTTATTACAGGGGTGAGGGTGGGATCAGGGGTGGAGCACAGGGTGGACAGGCTGCAGAGGCCACGCTCTGCCCCGTGCACCATACCTAAGAAATAAGCCTCTTTCTTTAAAGAGCCTAGTGTCAAGCACTCAATTCTACTGGACCACATGGGTAGGTCTTGGGTCTTGGGGAAGTGAGTATTGGGCCCACCATGTCATCCAAAGGCACCTGAAGGTGCTGGGAGGAGTCTCTGACTTCTCCCCTCTAACAGTATCCAGAGCTAGTAACTCACACTGGAAGCACATGGCTAAGAGTAGCCAGGAGAAGCAGGAGCAGAAGAACCTGACCCTGTACACACAGAGCCACAGGCCTGGTGGGGAAGAGATGCACAATAAGAACGAAGGGACAAAAGTGGGAAAGTGACCAGCTCTAGTCGTTTCTGAGACACTCCTGAAATCTCTATTTTGTTTGAAGACAGACTCAAGCAAAGGAAAGGGAAACTAAGGTTTATTGAGTGCCTACTGGGGACACATCTAGCCTTGTGCACGTTTTCATTCCCAATATCCCATATAATCCTCACACCAACCCTGAGGTAGGTACTATCCCCACTCGTGTCAGATGAGGACGATGAGGTTCAGAAAGGTTAGGTAGTTTGTCCAAGGACTCAGAACTGGGAGCCAACGAATGGGGATGGAGTCCTCAGTCTCCCCCAAGCCCTGTTCTCTCCTACGCTGCCCCAGGAGGAAGAAGGAGGCACAAGCAAAAGCAGCAGCCCTTAACTTCTGGCCACCATGGACGAGGGTCACCAGGAGAAGGGGCCTGTGCTTCCCCACAGACCCTCCCTCCCCACCTTGGGAGGATACAGGCAGTTGAAGAGATTAAGACATAAATATAAAAATAAATAAAAGGGACAAGTCTCCAGCAGCGATGATGCCACATCCATGCTGTGGGAAGGTCATTGTACCATTCACAGCTGCTGTGGGAGGCAGCTGCATGG